ATTAATTAATAATAAAAGTAAATTTATTAATTATTTCATAGCAAATACTAATAAAATAAAATTTAAAATATTAATCCTTAATTAATAACTAACTAGATAATTATCAACACTAATTATAAAATTTTTTCATTACAATACTAATAATTAATAATAATAAAATATAAAATAATAAAAATATTATTAATTATTAATTGTTACTAGGGTTGATTTTCTCACTATTTTCCCTTTTTGCAACCAAACAATAGATAGCATTTAAAGCTATAGTTTTAATCAATTAAAAAGAAAAAACTAAATTGTGTAGAAACTGATCACGGTATAAGTTGAAAGGTAGAGAAAGGCATTTGATTACATGCACTGTTTTCCCATTTATAGTTAAGACGTGGGAATACGGTAGCTGCAACAAAGATAACAAGCTTGAGGATTCTTGGGGATTGGAAAATGTGTAATAGTCGTGAGTGAGAGCACAGATCGCATCCTTTTCTTTCACTTCGTCCTTGATTGTTAGTGCAGCATTTTGTGCTGCTCCATCTTCTCTCAATGACTCCCATGTAGTAGCATGCTTTAGTAGTTTAATATTCCTTCATGGAATGTCACAACACTAGGGTGGGGAGAGAGAAAGGGAAGTGCAGCAACAGATCTTGGGTGCAGTGACCCAACAATTGCAGCATGTATACCACCTAAAGCAAGTCACTCATGCATATAAGCTTCGCACCACGCTGCAATATAGGACATATTTGTGCATAGCAAAGATATGGTATGGAAAGAGTTTTGACCAATCAAAATCTACCTATGAATTTTGATAAATAACACCATGCTCTCTATCACGTTTATGATTCTGGTTTATTGGTCAGTTGTTTTTCGGATATCATATCTTTTTCATATCATAGTTGAAAGTATTAAAGTGGGACTAGTCTCAAAGTACAATATACTAATCTACAATTGACTAAAAAATAAATAAAACACCCAACAGGGTCTGGTGAAGAAGAAATGAGGTTTCCTTCAAGCACATATTTTTGGATAGGTCTTACCAAAAATGGGGAAATCCCTAAGAAAGGCAAGGATAATTAATATTATCCAACTATATTTTTAACACAAAAATAACATAACTTGTTCTATATTTTATGTGCATGTGTGTCTTTATGTGATGAAAGAAATGGATAATAAGCATGTCTTTAAGGGGGTGTTCTTTTTTTCGGATTTTGAGAGGGGGAAAGCTGGTCAATGGGATTTTGGTTCCCATTAACCAATAATCTCATGTTTTCTTCTTCAGCAATATGTGGGGACCAGGGAAAGTATATTTTTTTGGGTATTATTTACCCAGGAAAGTGATACCCATCTTCTAGGTGGGTAAGTAACTTCGTGAGGAAGTTACCAACACTTGAATGGGACAAAAATGCCCCTTTTAATAATGGATTTCTATGGCTAAAATGGTCATTGCCTTATTTACCTAGAAAATAAAAGAACATGAGCAAATGCACTTGCTCGAGTAAGTGTTTCCTGGGAAAAACTTACCCAGATAATTGCATTTACCTAGGTAAGTAACTTATCGAAAAGCGAATGAGGCCTGAGAGGAAAGTATCTTTTTTAGGCTCCACATCTCTGATCTAAACATCTACGATTGCTACTTTGGCGGATCAAATTCAGACATTTGAAAGAAAAGACTGTTTCAACAAGGTAGTGGGAAGAAGAAAAAGGCTAGGGTTTTGTTTGAGAACAGAGCATAGGTGATGTTTCACCATTGAAAGCTGGAGGACATTTTGCATAGGTGATGATAGTCAGATTTCTCATCAAACAAAGTCGAATGTTTTTTCCTTCCCATGATGAATAAAAGTATTTTTGGGTCAGTTAGGTTTTAAGAAAGAACAGCAAGAAAAAGAAAATTCGAACAGTTTAGTGGGGTATTTTGGTAATTTAATGCCTTTCATCATTTAACTTAACGACCGAAGTCCAAGGGGTCATTGTCACAAAAAAAGTGCAAAGGGGTCTTTGTCATTGATCCCATAATATAGGGGTCTTTATCACAAAAAAAAGTACAAGGTGGTCTTTGTCATTGACCCCATAATACAGAGGGGGTCCTTGTAGTTTACCCTATTTTTTATAAATAAAAGAGCCAAATTTTGAAATTTGATACCCCAAAGTGTGTTTTTTTTTTTTTTGGTATAGTGGGGTTGCAAAGATCATGAAGAGCTACCCAAGATAAAAATAACACCATATACATAAAGTTAAATTCACTAGAAGTTTTCAATACATTGTACATTGTAACCCATGACTAGATCATGGGTTTTTTAACCAAACCGATCATTTTTGACAAAATAATAGGTTTTAAGTCAAGCAAGTTGAAAACATCATAAAAATCATAATCCATTTGTATCATTTGAAATAATAAAAATTAATTAACCATAGTAAAAATAATTTATTAAATTACTTAAATAAGATAAAATTAATTATTTATTATTATTCTTGATAAATATATTTTTATTAATATAATAAAAATAATATGTGTTTAAAACAAATATAAAACTAATATCCTACTATTCACGAAATTGAAAAACTATACCCTTACTATTCACGAAATTGACAAACTAATATCCTACTATTCAAGAAACTAATCTAAAGTTGAGATGTGTGCACAACGATCATACATGCCTTTTGGCAGCCTCATCGTAAGCAAGAGCAGCTTCGAGAGCGATGGAGAAGGTTCCCAGCCAAAGCGAGCTTCCTCTGTTTGGTTCTCGAATCTCGGCGACCCACTTTCCCCATGTCCACTGCTTGACGCCTCTGTAGTTACAGCGCTAGTTCTCAATCCTCCTTTGCATCTCATACAACCTTTCCTCGAGCCTTTGGCAGGGGCTTTTCGATTCATTTTTGCTCCATCACCTGCGGTGTCAAGTTTTTCCACTTGGCGAGTCTCTCTGCTATGGAATCACATCCCTTCTGTCTGCTTCGCGATTTTCTCTTCCTTTAATGATTTTGGGACGGAACGAAGAAGCAGGGTTTATACCAATTTACAATCAACCATAATCTAATTCAGTTGTTTGGCATCCAGGAGAAGAAGAAACTAATCTAAAGAGACAACGCGACCTGCTTTCTAATTTCTAAATTCTAACTAGGGCTGCTAAGCACGTCCACGATAACTCGGCTGAAAGGAGGCAAACCCATCTGCTGCTCCTGGGCTCTGCTCTTCTTAAGCAAAGGCTCCAGCGAAGACGAAACTGATGATGCCACTGCCTATGAATCGTTGGAACTGTCGCAGCTGAAAGCCACATCAATGACGCCGTTTGGACTTCCCGGTACGAATTGATACTCGCGTTTGCGACTGTGGTTGAGACCCTGGCAGCCCAATGTCAATTCCCGGATGAGTATAGCACTCATCCACCATGTCCTATTTGAGTACAACCAGAATTGATAATACATTGTTAATGGGTAATCATGGATGGTGGATGCTGAAAGATGGAGGAGTACAAACTAATCCATCCACAATGTTGTAAGAGACTATCAACCTTGCTGATTTTCAGGACTCCCATGAGCTAGTTTTGATATTCGATCGGATTACAGGGCTCAACTTCCTCGATAACATGCAACAGTGTAGCAACAGCCAAAACAGAAGGAATAAATATGGAATACTTCCGTCTGCTTTGCGATTTTGGTTTGAAGGAAAAAGCAGGGAAAGGATGGGACCTCTACAAATCTTGTAAAGTTTCATTACTTTTTTCTTCTTTTCCCTACCTTTTCCTTGAAACCAAACATAACCTTAATGATTCAGGACGGAACGAAGAAGCAGGGTTAATACCAGGAGAAGAAAACTAATCTAAAAGAAGAAAACGTGACCTGTTTTCTAATTTCCAAGTCATTGCATCAATCAATGGATTAAAAAAAAAAAAAAAAAACAGAAGAACAACCAAAACCCCATATTCAGATTTCACGGAAAAGCTCAAAATTTGAAGCTCGCAAAGAAGTCTAACCCGTCACACCCAAATTTAGATTCACCATCTTGGTGATTAAATTATAAAGCAAATCATAAAACTAAAACAATTTCTATACAAATGAGTAGGACCGGAAAAGGAAGAGAAATAGAAATTACAAATAATACTCACTTTTCTGCAATCAACAATTACATACAAGCTTGCTTTTCTTTTCTTATCGGGGTTCCTGTTCTTCTTTTGAGTTCTCTGGTTCTTGTGCAATTGAATTGTCTTGGACACATGTTGATTTCCACCATTTAGAATCAGAGGAGAGGTCTTGTTGCCGTCTATAGCTCCATGGGAATCACTTGACCTCAAATAATCAAAGCTGGTGGCGGTGGGAGAGGATGGATACCTTTAGGTCTAAGATTCGTTACAGAAAACCACGAGATTTTCAAATCTGAAATTAGATGCATGAGGGAGATGTCTCAAATACGGTTTTGGGTTTTAGAGATTGCATTTGGAAATCAGGGTTTTTCATCAGTTGGGTTTTATTTTGAAAATTTGATTTTTCATCAGGAAATAGTAAATTCGATATTTCATTTTTCTATTTGCACCTTTTTTTCAGAGGGTCACGAAATTGACAAACTGTACCCTTATTTTGTTTACATATTACAAACCATTTTAAAAATTAATAAAAAATTAGTATTAAGATACAAAAAAATAATACAAATTTATCTATCTCATAGGAAACCAGCCACTCTCACACTAAAGTTGAATTGTGTGATCCAAACTAGACATAACCCAAAAAAAAAATATTGAATTGGACTTAGATAAGCACCATTTAATTGGAAATGTCATAAATCTCCTTCCTCAATTTTTCTTAATAAAACTCATTTGACATTTTTTTTAATAAAATGGGTCTTGCAAAGATAATGGCTCTTTCAATGAAGATAAATCACAAATTAAGGAAGCAAGAGAAGGCACTTCTTTTAATTAATAACTCCAGTTTTAATTACTTTAAATAAAAGGACATTTTTTTTTAATAAAATGGGTCTTGCAAAGATAATGGCTCTTTCAAAGAAGATAAATCACAAATTAAGGAAGCAAGAGAAGGCACTTCTTTTAATTAATGTTATATAACCCCAAGGAGGGAAAGATACACACAATGGAGGGATACAATATGGGTCTTTGACATGGAATAAGTGGACAACTCCTCCGAGGTGGAGGGCATTTATACACAGAATATACAAAATAACCCAATATTTTTTTGTTCAATCTTGTTATTAGTTTGTCGAATGCCAGATGGCAACATTCATTTACACCGATAAAGGCTGCAACCTGTTCATCAAGAGTTCAAGCAATGGCCAACACATCAGTAAACAATTACCGACAGACTAATTAAAATCCCAATTGAATTAGTAGGACAATTTTAGTATTGTACCTTGTTTATCTGATGCGAGTTAAGTTGCCAAATGGCTCAGTGTTTGCTTTTGGTGTTGGCTTAGCTGCTTCAGGAGCTCCAAAGACATTCCAAAACCTCAGAGTTTCATCTGCGGCTGCAGATGCTACTGTACACCCATCAGGGCTCTGAATGTATTTGGGAATTGGGAGGAGGGAAGTGATTAGTAGTAAGCCAGTAAAAATCAATCAACTCTACATCCAGCTTTACTAGATAAACAGCAACCATGAAGTTGAGAATTATAATAATGTACCTGAGCCATAAACAAAACTCTTGAAGTGT